AAGTCCAGTTTGAGTCATTACTGAATTTACTAACTTTGTTCATGTGGTTAAGGTGGTGTCCATAAGATTTCTCTATTATAAAAGATGTTTTATTTGCCTTTTAAATTAATAAGTGATTTGTAGATAATAAGGCACTGTGAATATCCTGTACCCCAATAGCATTTTAATAAATGATTGCAGTATCCATGATGATCCTGAATTTTAGTTATTACTTTGCCTACTGCAAATGGTAATTTGCTTATTCCATCATTTCTTCTACATCTATTAACTGATCTGTAAAGATAAATCTAGACTCTTTTAAGCCCTCAAATAGGCTGTCCTCTGTCCCCACCTAGTTATATCCCTCCCCATCCTCCAAAACAGGTAGCCTCTATTCTGACCTCTGTCACTGTTGATTAGTTTTTCCAGTTTTGGAGCTTCCTATAAGTGGAATCATATTTTCTTATGTCTGACTTCTTTCTCTCAACATATATGTGCAATATTTGTCTATATTGTTTTCCAAAGTGCTATTCTGGTTTTCACTCCCATTAGCGATTTATGAAAATTCCAGTTCTACATCCTTGTCCTGTTTGGTTTTGGCAGTCCTCTTAATTTTAGCTGTTCTCGTGAGTGAAGGAGTATCTCATGGTTTTAGTTAGCGTTTCCCTCATGAGTAGTGACATTAGACACCTTCTTCTGTTACTTATCTGCCTTCGGTATCCTCTTCCATGCAGTGCCTCTTAAGTCTTTGCCTGTTTAAAAATTGGGTGTTATTTCTCATGTTGATATATGGGAATTCTTTGTCAACTCTGAAGTTCTTTGTAAGATATATGTTCTGCAAATATCTTCTCAGGGTCTGTGACTTGCCTTTTTTTCTTCCTTGAGCTTTTGATGAACAGAAGTTTTAATTTTGATGAAGTTCAATCTTTTCTTTTATGTTTAGTCCTTTTTGGGTCTTGATTAAAAAATCTTCATAGGTCATGAAGATTTCTTTTGTGTTTTCTCCCAGAAGCTTGAGTATTGTAGCTTTCACATTTTGTTCTATGATTCATCTTGAATTTTTTGTGTCTAGTTGAAGTAGGTTTAAGAACCCTCCTACCCAGTTTAAATATCCATCCAATTAACCTAGTATCATTTCTTGAAAAGACCATTCTTTCCCCACTGGATTGTAGTGGTGTTTTGTCATTAGTCAGGTGACTGTATATTTGTCGGTTGTTTTCTAGACCCTCAATTCTGTTTCATTTTGTTTGTTTATCTTTAAACCAGTATTATGCTATCTTAAATACTGTAGCTTTATTAGTTTGATATCTAGTAGTAAAAGTCTCCTTGTTTTCCAGTATTGCTTTAGCTATTCCAGACCCTTTGTATTTCCATGTAAATTTTATGATCAATTGCCACAGCTTTCCTCCCACCCCCAACCCATGTGCAACCTGATGAAACTTCCATTGTGATTGCCTTGAATGTGCAGATTAATTTTGGAATGATGCACACCCTAAAGACAGCAAATCTTCTAATCCACAAATATAGATAGACCCTTTCATCTATATTGATCTTTAATTTCTCTCAGCAATGTTTGTGTCTTGCAAATCTTTTGGTAGATAAATTTCTAAGTATTTTATGTTACTAAAATTTTTTCTACTATTCCTTGCCCTCTTTGTATGTCCCCATCAGTCTTTGAAGAATTCCTTTCTTTTGGAAAGAAGTATTAGGAAAGAATTTAGGACAAAAAAGTATTTCAGGATTGCCTTGTATTTTCTAGGTTTAGAATCTACTATTTTCAAAGGAACCTTGGGTCCTATTAGTGGAAGATGGTATTTAGGGACCACAACAAGGGTCCTTGGTATACTCACTGCTGTTTGGATGTATTTTCATACTGTAGGCAGAATTCTGATTATGTTGATAATCTTGAGAACTGTAGTTCTCAATCACATGGTAAAAAGGGGGTAGAATTGATATTGATAATATCTTCTCAGATATATTTTCTATTTTAAATGAGTAAGGAATGGTCAATTTTGAGTCATTGCAAGAGCAGATGGAGGCATGAAAATGTAATTCATTGCTTTTCCAACAAAGCTGACTGATTTCACAAAAGTTATATGTATACATAGGGTAAGATATACAGATATCCTAGAAGTTCAGAGACAAAAAAGGTGCATGTTTCTTTTCAAAGAACCAGCAGAAATTCCATTTTATGTTATTAAAACTTAATAATAGCAACTTTATATCACTGCAGCAGTAATTCCTATGTGAGCCAAGATTGAGTTGCTTCTGTTACAGATTCAGATTGACATATGTGACTGACTGATTAACTGGGCAAGCATATCAGTACATGGTGCGAAAAGAGACAAAACCTCCAAGAAAGCTACCTGTCTTACTATCAAGGCACAATGCCATCAGCTGCACAAAGCTTACTATCGAGGCACAGTGCCATCAGCTGCACAAAGCCCATGCCAAGCTAAAGGTCTGCTCAAACAATGGGACTGCTCATTGTAACATCAACTAGGAGATGTTCAAACCATGGGCTGTTGCAACTATCATTTTTTGTGGTTGGCATCTGGGTAATAGAATCCTTAAACCTATACCATTTTCTGACGAAGAGTAGCCAAACCCATGGTGTTCAGAAATCTATTTTGGAAGAGCTTGTATGGTTATTTAAAGCAACATTATAGCTAATATTAAGCAATATAAAGCAGTTTTATAGCTGATATGGCAGTGTAGCAATCAGAGATAGGGTAATTTGTTTTAAACATCATATCGACAAATACGAATCCTGAAAATATCAACTCTACTCAAAACTCTTGCAACAAACTTTAAACATGATCTATTTGATACTAATTGCAGTTTGTAATCACTAGTCAGTTGTACTCCTATTTATTTTTAAATGAAGAAAAATCTATTGGATTATGCTAGATCTCTAATAGTATACCATTTGAAAATAGATGTTGAACAATGAAGTTGTCTATTGTTAAAATTCCTTAGTTTTTGATTGAGTAAATGATTAAAAAATTCTGCCTTTAATAAGCAAAAAATAAGTTAAAAGCTCATTGCCATCAATATTTAGGCAATATTGTGTTGCAATATTATTCATCATTGAAATGTGTGCTAAAAATTACATACTGGATAATGACAGTTTAAATGGTGTAAGATTTTCATTGAATTCATTTTCACAATAAAAGAATTTCTTATACTTTGTCAGAGTGCAGAGTACATTTGGTAGTTCTTTGTGAAATTCACATGTGTATTTTCTTTAATTCCTAAATTTCAAGATAATGCCTATAAAAGGCATTGACATTTTAAACTGTCAACCTATGTACACAATTGCAGATTTTTATTTTCTATTTGAAATTATAGTTAAAGAAAAATACTTGTTGAGGCTTAAGGTATGATTAAAGCAAACCTGTTTACTATTTTCAGATTATGTGGGGTCATCTGGAACAGCAATTATTTTTGTACCAGAGCTAGTAAAGCACTTTATTGTATTATTGGAGAAACAATAAAAATCACTTTCACATACATTTAAATTCATTTACTTTTAATATTTTAGAGGGAGAAGACCTTGGTTTTTGTCAGAATGCTATAATTGAGCTCCTTTATGCCTAATTTACAAAGGATGTAATTGAGTTTTAGAGAATAGAGAAACTTTAGCAGTTAAGATAAATGGATTTCTAAGACACGGCAACATAGTTGAATTTGGGTAACAAATGTAGGTGAACAGTCTTTATGAAGAGAATTCTCAAATTATGCATTACATAGTTTAAATTTTTCTGTTTTCCTACAGAGATTGATAGCTTAATAAATTTTGGTTATATGTCTTTACTGATAATCATACTGAAATCTCTAGTTAGTCAAATAAGCTAACATTTTTGTAACTGCATTCTAGTAACAACAAATATTCATTTTAAAAGACTTCTATAGTCTTTTCAGAATTCTCTTATGTGTATAGTTCATTTATAAATAGATAACTTAAATTTCAAAGGATGGCAAGTTTTGGTAAATGACAAGTACTTTGGCTCAAAACTTTCTATAGCAGCACTAGAAATACATAATAGTCTGAGGCAGAGCTAAAATAAAAGAAAGGCTTATTTCCATTATGGTCTTTGTAATTCTATATTGTCTTTAAAGAAGCCCTGCTTGACTTGAAAGATGTAATGATTTCTAGTGTGACTAGCTTCGTAGTAGTAACAGCATATTGTTTACATTTAATCTGATGCAGTTTTCTTTTAATTGAAAAATATACTTATTAACATATATTTAGTATCTATGCAGAATAATGACTGAGTACTAAAATTGGGATAGTACATTAAGTCCAAAGTGAGGTTTTCAGAAAGGTTGATACTCGACTATTTTATGACTTCTGTTAATTTTTTTGCTCCCCTCTGCCACTTTTAAATATTTTGCAGTCCAGGATAGCTTGAGCAAAGAAGTAAAAATGGAGTCCTTTTTAAGCAGTGTTGTGAATAAAAATACATTGGTAACTGCTGAGAGTTTTGAAGTATTGGTTATGGATAGTTTTGCTGAAGTTCATGTGAGAGAAGGCAAACTGTAGTTAATTTACACACTTCAAATGAAATGTTTTTATTTTTAGTAGAACATTTTCTTGCTGGTACTTGCCCGACTTTGTTGCTGAGAATTCATGATGTTAATATTTCACTAGATCTATGCCATGTGTGTCTCTCCCAGCAATATTATTGTGTTATTGGAGAAACTATAAAAATCACTTTCACATACATTTGAATTCATTTACTTTTAACATTTTAGAGGGAGAAGACCTTGGTTTTTGTCAGAATGCTATAATTGAGCTCCTTTATGTCTAATTTACAAAGGATGTAATTGAGTTTTAGAGAATCTCACTTCCTAGTTTTGCCGTTTCTAGAAAATCTAGTGGCTTGTTTTACAACAGACAATTTAAATTATGTGTGAAAAAAAACTTGTCTTTGTATTTATAAATCACAGCTTTCGTTTGGTATGTCTTCCTTAACAAATTCAGCAAATGTACCACAGCCTGTGAATTTTTTTTTCAGTGTACCCGTGTGATGTGGACACCACCTCTCCGCGAAAGCTTCTCATATCCATTCCTTGTCCTTCAGATGTTGCTTGTGACTCATATTCTCAGGTGACTTTGACTTATCCTTAGTTGTTTGCTTGTTTGTTCTGTATTGACTAAGATAAGCATAAGAATTTTTTGAGGTTCCATAATAGAAGCAGTAGGTGTAATCAAATAAGATGCTGCTGTTACAAGGTCAAATTCATAAAGGTTTTTGAAGAGTATAGCTTCAAAATATTTACTACCAAAAGCATTTTCTTAATTTGTCTTCTTCTTCGTTTTTCTTACAGTCAGCAGGTAATGTTCAGGGAGCACCAAATCTGCTTCCACTTCTGCCATCATCACTTTCCCAAGTCATTTTGTGCCCCTACTACTGCCTCCCAAAAACAGGCCGAAGGAAGAGGGAAAGCTGATAGAGGGAGAGGGCATCCTATAAGATAGCCTTCAGACCAAGGAAACAGTTCATAGAATAATTGTGGTCAGATACATTGACCCATGTATTCTTCTTCTTACATGTGTTTAGCACCCCTGAAAATCAGCTAGTCAAGGTAGAAAGAAACCACCTCAGTGGACCAAAGATTTGCTAGGAGAATTCCTGCTAGAAATACAGATTGCACTGGGCTCCCCCATGTTTACCTGGCCTTCAGTTAGAGACCTAACAGAGACTCAAGCACCATGTACATGGAAAGAGAGTAGGACTGAAAATAGTTCTCTCTCTTTCTTATTGACAAATGTTGAGTTTAAACGGATGCTGCCTTGATTCAGAGGGTAAAAATAAAGCAAAATGGGACCTATGAAAAAAATAGAAAAAGCGTTATGAAGATCTAAAGATGACTCAGACTAAGAATTGCTTTCAGTGATGTGCCGAATTTAGGGGAACCTGATTGTAGTCTGTTATGCCATACCCTTTGGAGAGTCCATTCCCCACTGTGATGTTCTCAGCAGGAATAAAGCCCTTGTGTAGCTTTGTCTCTTAGGCAGTGTTTTTAGACAGGCCTTTCACAGAAAGTGGGATGGATGGCAGCTTCTATTAATTTTTAATTCCCTGCCACTGCAACCTGATTGCTCTCCCGGAAATTCCTCCTTTATTAGAGGATTTAAAGCTTCTTTATCTTCAAATAAGGGGAACTCAGTGAATTCATAACCTTTATTGTGGGGCACCTTGATGGACGTTACCTTCTCAAAGGCTGCAGGAGGAAGTGTGCTGCGCGAGCATATGAGTCCCACTGCGTGTGCTGTGTTTCCACATCCACATTCTTAATCTTGGCTTTTTCGCCAGTATAGTGCAGACAGTGGCAAGTTCAGCTCCTTCTCACCCTCCGTCAGTGCTCTGCTCTGAGCAGCCCTGGGTGGTGGTGCTCCGCCTGTTAAACACGGCTTCCTTTCCTCCATCCCAAGGGACGCCGGCAGAACTTCCCGCCAATTTCCAATTGCTGCTGTACCAGTCCCTACAAATTTAGCTTCATTCGCTTGCATGTTACCATTCTGTAGGCCAGAAATCCTAGCGTCCAGGCTTCGGCAGGGCTGCACTGGCTCTTTCCTAGCCTCCAGGGGCTGCCTGCCTTCCGTGGCCTGTGGCCCCTTCCATCTGCAGAGCTGGCAGTGCCGGCGCGGCCCGTCCCATGTCAGTTCACTCCGGCTTTCTTCTTTCACTTTGAAGGATCCCTGTGATTATATTGGGTCCACCCGGATAGCCCAGACTAATCTTCCTACTTGAAGGTAATCATAGTTCCTCTACGCCATGCAATGTGATACATAGTTCCCAGCGATTAAGGACGAGGACGTCTTTGGAGGCTGTCACTGCCGGCCGTGGCGGGGCTGCTCCAGCTGCTGTTTCTTGGCCTCAGGAGCTGCTCTGTTCAGTTCTTCCGGTTTGTTCTCTGGTGCTTTTGTGGCGAGCTCTTTCACTATGTTTTGTCTAGAGTCCTAATCACTGTCATTTAAGCCTTTTCCACGTCCTCATTCCTGTCTTTACTTCTGGTTTTTGCCTAAGTTTTAGGGGAATGTACCTCCTTGAAGGTCTTTTTTGTTTTCTTTGTTGTTTTTTATCCTATTTGGCCTCTTCCTTCTCGTGTTCCTGGTGGTATGAAGCTACAGCTGCTGTGGCTCTTGTGCCTGCTGCTTCCGCCTCATCCTCTCCTCCTCCTCCCCCCACGCCCCTCACTAGCACCTCAGTACTTCCCACTGGGGCAGCCCTCCTGTCCTTGGCTCCCCGGTTGGCATGTGCCTTGTCTGCTGTGGCTGGTGTGACTGCCTAGATGTGTGGTGGCTGCTCTCATTGCCCCTGGGTGACACCACTCTCCTGGCAACTGCAGTGCTTTTTCCTGGGGATCACCCCATCCCCCATCCTGAAGTGTGGCATGCTTCCTGCCTTTCTTCTGAAGGATGACAACCTCATCCATTGGCCATCTAAGTCTTCTGGCATATCATCCTTATTACTGAATTCTGTTCCCTTTGGCAGAGTAGCCATTTCCTTCAGTTTTTGGTGGCCCCCTGCAGTTGACATCTGATGATGGCAGGCTGGGTGGGAATGGTGTGCATGGCCTGGGTGGGCCAAGAGGATGAGCAGTGTTGCTATAGCTGCAGGTATTGAGGATGTTGATCTTGTTAAAAAGCTAAAAGAGACTAATCCTAAGGCTAGGATCATTTATAAATAAGGTCAGAAAGCTATTTTAACTTAACAAATCGACTTTGTACAGTTTTGAATTTTGAGTATTTTTAGAAATTCAATTTTGTATAAATCACCCAATACAAGCCACAGTCTTAGCTAGTTCTTGATTGTTCCTGGCAATATTTATGTTTCCATTTCTGTTGTCTTGCTTCTGTGCTATACTGAATATACCATCACCAGTTGGAATTCCTTTTCTTTCCATTTGCCCCTTTGTCCCTCCAGTGCATTCTGTACCCAGCTGCCAGATTAGTATTGATCAGAATCTGTCTCTCATTACCCATAAAATGAAAGCCATGTTCAATATTCAAAAGCAGTAGAGAAATGCATGATTTTAGACAGTGGCTTTCCAACTTTTTTGACTGATCTACAAAAAATAAATACATTTAACATTCTGACCCAGTAGACACATACACATGAGCATGCAAACGACTGAAACAGAAATTTCATGGAGTAGAACCTTTAGTATGTAGGATGCAATCATGTATTTTTTGTACTGCACTTCACTCTATTAAAAATTGTTTTTATATAAAAAAACAGATTTTGTAACTCATTAGTAGGTTACCTGGATTTTAAAAATACTTGATTGAGGGGCATGATAGAAAGCTGGATTAGAAAGGCAGAGAGGGACGTCATTTGGAGGAGATACCTAAGGAAGTAAAGAGAGGTGTTTTGCATTGGTGCTTAGTGGTGGCCCCGGGTAGGTTTATTCTGAGGAGGATTTCTTTACTTTATCCAGCATGAATACCTTGTAACCTCAGCATGTAAACATGCACATTTCATTTTGCAAAGATGTTAGGTATGTTAGGGACTTTGCATTGGCTCACTGATTTGGGAGAAAAGTACTTAAAGCTAGCATAAACCATAAAATCATGAAAGGTCTCATCTTCCTTAAAAAACCCCTTAAGTCACAAGTCAGGACCAAAGTGAAACCTCTCAAGTGGTTTGTCCTTTGCCTCTTCTCTTTTCTGTGTCCCATCTGTGCAAAGCCCAACTTTTATCCCACATCCTCCAGTTGCCCTCAGCTGCTCAGTCCCTATTCTGAATTCTTGCAGTACTTGTTCTCAGAATACTTAGCACTTACAACATGCTACTTTCTGTGATAATTTATAGATAGCCTCTGTATCAACAAATAATCTACTGAATGCAGCATTAAGTATGTTTGATCATGAATTCACCCAAACGTACTTTGAAAAAATTCAGTATATATACTTCTCTCTCTTTGGCAGGCCTTGTTTTTATAGTACTAATGGATATTTCCTTGTCATAGAAAATTGTTGTAATTGAGTGTCAGAAGTATAATTTCTAACCTATTGGTTCATTTTATGTCCAGTTTATGTTACAACCAGATCATGTTTAGAGATCCTAATTTGTAGCAGTTCGGAGCCATGCTAGAATGTTTTGTAGTTAAACTTAACTATATTTATTTTATCCTTTCAAGGGCTTCAAAACTTTATAGAGGAAGCTTGATTGCACTCTGCATTTCCAATGTATTTTTCATGCTTCCCTGGCAGTTTGCTCAGTTTGTACTTCTTACTCAGGTAAGGTGCGTATGTTTTTAAAATGGATTAAGCTTAGGGTGTTTGGTTGTGTGAACTCATTTGTCTAAGATTAAAGAATTTAGATGTTACATGATTCTAAGTCCTAAAATGTTTTTTTAGTTAATACTTTTTAAGAAAGTTTAGGGTAAGGAAATGCATAAGATTGAATTATTAGTATTATTTATTTACTTACTAGTAGGATGCATTTAACTCAAATTTATAACAATGCTTATCTTTGTTATTCAGTCTTTGTTAGTGTGCTTTAGATTATTGCTATGGCCTTAAGTCTATCTCCTAAGTAACTTGTAGTTCTTTAGTTCTTTTAAGGAGAATGTACTTCTTTTATGAATGATGTTATGCATTCTTATACATGAATAAATACACATAGGATGATATAGGATAATTAGCTAAACAGTTCATTATTTTATAATTCCCCTACCAATCTGTAATTTATCGTCTTTTCATGTACTTTTCCCTCCCTCTTCCTTCAGAGGTATATAAAACAAGGTAAAAGTAGCTTGTGGGAAGAGGGAGTAGTTTGTGTGTGCATCTCTTCCTGCACCTCTCCCTCCAGCTGCTTCTACTTCTTTATTATGCTGGCCACGTTCATATTCATATAAGGCAGTTTTAGAATTGCTTTTTAATGTCTTTTGAAACGCCCATTGAGAAATGAAGTCAGACCTGGATTTGAGTCCTAATGCTATTCCCTAGGACAAACAGCTTAATTTTCTTAGTTTCAGTTTCCTCACTTGTGAAATAGAGAAAATAAAAGAACTGACTTTATTGGATTGTATAGAATCATTTGAGGTACTGTATCTAAGACTCAACACTTTACCTGGTACTTAGCTAGATGTTGGTAAGGTTAGTTACTTCATCATTTTTTAATAAGAGACTCTATTTGTAGTTAAATCTTTCTTTGATTTTATCTTTTAGACTCCTTTGTCTTTAGTTTGATGACATTTTAAATGTTTCTGGTTTAAAATGTCCCAGAGAGTCACTCTTTAGGATTCTACCCAGTAGGCCTGCTGTGTGTTGCTTGGATCTCAGGGTGGAAAGGGAGAGAGAGTTCCGGTTGCTTCCAGTTAGTGGAGATGACCTACTTTTTGTTTTGTTTTATTTAGAGGGGTTGCATGGGTGAGGGGAGGAGGTAGTGTGCCTCTCTGTGGAGCTCATGCTGAATGACAGTGCACACTTCCCCAGTTACTGTCAGGTCAGTCATCCTTAAGCAATATAGCATTCCGGGAAGGGTGGGGGAACCTGGGTAAATGGAAACCTTGTTTTTCTTACTAATGGGAAAATTTGTTGCAGATTGTTTGAAGATCAAAAAAACCCCTGATGAATGGAACTTAAATAATATGTTTAACTATTCAGCTATTTTGCAGTTTGTTTAAACCACGTTTATGTAGCAGGAGGTGCATGGAATTTAGTTTGAATTGCTTTCTCGATGAAGCAGGGTGGAGAGGAACTGTTTGACATAATGCGTCTTTATTTTACTAAGAGGCACACATTATTGTCATTTTATAAATATCTCAATAACTTCAGTACTTTGAATTCTTGGTAAATACATACACAATTTTCTTCAGAACTGTAAGAAAATTAAAAATACCTTTGTAGTGAAAGTATTCCTTCTACTCACAGTGACTTATAGAGTGATTAATAGGTAGAACTTAATGTGTTTTATACACAAGTGCATTGCATAATTATTTTTGAGTTTAATGTGCCTTCCCAATTATGTATTAGTCGTCGTAGTTGTGGGCAAGTTACTTTGTAAGTGTACATGTTGACAGTAGAGTCACTCTGACATTAAAATGAGTATTGTTTCAGATAGTCCACAAAACAGATAATTCATGTGGTTAATTGAGAGAGACATATGGAAAAGGAAAGTAAACCAGTGTTTGCTCTATTAATATATTGACTGTATTCAATAATAAATTGGTAGGTAAGAGGGAAGCTAAAGAACTTATTTTCAATACAAGTCAATTTGAAACAACAATAATCTATATTCTAATAGCTATTAGATATATAATTTTTATTTTTAACTTCTTTTTAAATTTCAGATCGCATCATTATTTGCAGTATATGTTGTGGGATATATTGATATATGCAAATTGCGGAAGATCATTTATATACACATGGTAATGGTTTAAAAATGTTTATTTTCCATTTAGTTTGACTTCAATAGAAAGTTTTTGATTTGTGAATTGTTGAAAGAAGTTGTACAATCATTCTGACTAAAACAAGTGTCATTCAAAAACTGTGATAAAATTAATAGACTTCAATAGGCCACCAGAAAATTTTAATTTGGTCATATTATGTGATTTGAGGTGTACCTGACTTAAACGTTATTAGGTAAAGAGATAATTCACAGAAGAGAAACATGTATAGTTTATTATCCAGGAGCCTTCTGTTAAAGTGAAATAGAATACTAAACACAAACTATTCAGTTATATGGGACATGCCAGTGAATAGAACTATAAAGAACCCCAACGTACATGTTGATTCCATTTTAGTTGAGTGGAGGAAAGACGAAAGACAGAAGATAAATAATAAGCATGTAAGTAGGTAGGTAAATTATAGAGTATATTAGCAAGTGGTAAGGACTATAGAAAAAAAGAAAAGAACAAGTCATGGTACCCTGGGGAAATCAGGAGTGCCAGCCTCAGGTGAGAGATTGACCTATCAAATAAAGTGGTCAGGGCAGGTCTTACTGAGAGCGTTGAGTAGAGCAAAGATTGGAAGGAGGAGAGTGAGTTAGCTAAGTACGTATCATGGAGAAGAATATGCTAGGTTGCTGGAACAACTAGAGTAAAGGTCCTAAAGCAGGTGGTTGATTTTGATGAATGTTTATTCCTTAAAAACATTTGTCTTCTCTTTGTCATGAGCTCTTATTTTGATGTTTTCTTTTGCCTATAATTTTAATGTTATAATATGCCATTATTTTTATTCTCTAATTATTGATACGTATAAAAGGACACTTACATAGGGAAGCTATGAACAAAGGTATAAAATAAACAATCATAAATCTGCTCTCCATTTGAAATATAGAGCCATCATTACTTGGAAGCCCTGAACATGTCCCCTTCACTAACCCTGGAGATAGTCATTACCCTGGCTTTTAAGTTATAATGACCTTACTTTTATCATATATGTATTCCTAAATAATGTATTTTTATTATTAAATATTTGTATCATTTTTAAGTTCTATAAAAATGGGATCCTTTTATGAAAGTTATATTCGCAAGTTTTTGAGATTTGTATGTTTCTGAAGGTCAGACATTTCCTTAGGTTTATATTTTCTATCGTATAGATAAAGCACAATTTATCCATTTTCTTGTTGAAAGACATTTAGGTTTTTTCCTCTTTTTTTTTTCTTTTACGAATAATGCTGTACATTCTTACACATACCTCCTGGGGCATATATGTTAAGAGTTGCCTCTAGGGTATTTACCTAATAGTAGAATTTCTGGGTAGTAAATTATTTATATGTTCAACTTCATAATTTAATATTGCATTGTTTTAAAAAAATGATTAGACTACTTCAAACAGTATGAATAATGTATAATGTATAATTTCTCTCATGTCAAAGAGAAAATGGCATCTGTTTTATTCACTGCAGTATAATCCACATTTTCATTATTTATTTTAATGCTTGAGTTGTTCCAATTTGGCCAACTACTTCAAGTTGTCTTCTTTGTCCTTTTAACATGTCCTCATCACGCTTTGAGCACTTTTTAAAAGAAATTAATAAGGGCTAAGCTTCATCAAATGTTTTTTGTTATCCATCTAGATGATCCTGAATATATATTTACTTGAATAATGTTACTGTGGTGAATTATATTAATTGATTTCCTACATTCAGTAACCTTGCTTTCTGGACAAAATACAATTTTTATATAAGGCTAGTTTTGCTTTGCTATTGTCTTGTTAGGATTTTTAAATCTGTTCAGGAATGGGTCTGGACAGTAATTATCCCATTTTTTTATACTTGACTTACTTTTTCCCAAACTGTTATTTAATTTTTTTTACATTGCACTTAAAATCAGAATATTGTTAAGCATCTAGAGTTTGTCAAATACACAGTAACACAGGCAGTTATGGATAGGATTTTCACTCAAAGTTACAAAGGTACTAATATTACAGAGGTTTAGTTTGTAGTAAAACTTACCTTGGGTAAATGGTATATGCTTTGTGATAAGACTTACTAACTATGAAGCTGGTTACTTACTAACTATGTAGAATATCATTTTTCCATTATCATTTTATAAATTCCTAAATCTTTACATTTATATAAAGGAAAAAATACAAAATTGTCTCCAAAAAGTATCTTTATTCCTATTTGTTATTATGGTAAAATACATATAACAAAATTTACCATCTTAATCTTTTTAAGTGTATGTAGTTTTTTCAAGGGTCCGTGGTAATAAGTGCATTCATGTAGTTGTGCGACCATCACCACTATCTATACAACTCTTTTCATCTCATAAAATTGGAGCTATATACCCATTAAATAATAACTTCTTATTTCCCTTTCTCCCTTAGCTCCTTATTCTGTTTTCTATGTCTGTGATTTTAACTGCTCTAGGTACCTCGTGTCAGTGGAAACATGCAGTATTTGTCTTTTTCTGAGTGGGTTATTTCACATGGCATAATGTTTTCAAGGTTTATCCATGCTGGTGCAAATGGCAGGATTTCTTTCTTTTTTATGGCTGAATAATTGACATATATACATATATATGAAATATGAAATATAAATATAAAATATGGAAAAACAATAGCAACAGAGATAGTACTTTGAGTTAAATTAATGTGCAGGATCTATATGAAGAAGACTACATTCTAATGGAAGAAGAGTTAAAGAAATGGAAATGTATTTTTTTGGATCTAAAGATTTAATATTGGGCAGATATAACTATAGACATATACAGTGTACATTGTTGAATAAGGCAAGTCTAATAAAAGTCAGTTTTGAAATAAACTGATTCTGAAGTTCATATAAAATTCATATATATGGATGTAAAATAAAACTTCTGGAAGAAAACAGATTATTTTATTTTTAAATGCTTTTCTAATAAAGGGGCTAAATCAAGGAAATGAATGATAAATTTGGCTTACCTGAAAATTTGGGAAATAACCATAATGCAGAAATACCACAAATAAAGATAAAAAATGAACTGGGAAAAATATTTACAACATTTACTTGATAAAGAAATGTTCTATAATACATAAAG